CCACAAACAGACAAGCTGGGCCTAAATGTGAACCGGCATCTGCCACCAGTCCGAACAGGACAAACTTGTGCCTGTTTGGACAAATTCTGAGTGACACAATCTAAACCAAGACAAAACGAACTAGCACAGAAGCGAACCATACCAACGCCAACAAAATATGCAGCAATCGAAAACAAAGTGAACTGAATGGAACTGAACTCAGAATAGACAAGACACCCACATGGCTGTCTGCAAACTCGCTCACCCACGAGCCTTGTGATGAGTGATGTGCGAGCCCCCTCGGCCAATTAAGGCTCCAAAAACAGTCTGGGTGGGCTAGGGACCAGGTCCCAAGGCCGGAATTGGAGGCCCAGGCATGCGACAGAGCAGACATTGGCAATCTAGTGGCCCTGCTCTGGCTGAAGAGGGTATCGTTCATTTTATCGTCAAGCATCTGGACTCTGGAGGTTTGCCTGCCAGATAGGGCAACCAATTATTGTCATGTGATCCAACTATCAGGCCGATTAAGGCGTCTTACCATTGTACGTATGGAACGCCGGGGCCTGTTCTTGGCACGTGTTACTTTTCAAAAAAAAAAAAAAAAAAAAGAATAGAGCGGAGTCATCTAACAGGGAAAAAAAAAAAAGAAAAAAAAGAAGGGCTGGTCATCCATCCAGAGCAGACTCTTATTCCCGCTTCACAGATGTTCACCTAGCAGTGGTTTCCAAAAAAAACACAGAAACGGGTCCTCACGGTCATGGCTCCAGATCGAAAATGACACCACCTATTAACCACAAGTGTGATTCCAGGGCGTGAGTCCAGTTCCTTTTCCCCTGGCGAGTAATAAATATACATGTTTACAACTTTACACCCTCACGCTTGCTTCCGTTCCGCCGAAGGACCCCTGACTAGCATTGATTGCTCCCTATTCCAGGAGGATTGACTGTCAGCTTGCCTCTCACACACAAATTCCTCTCAGGTTCCACCATTGAACCTGCCAGTTAAACCACTAGTACCTACCGCTTTGCCTGACCGTAAATGTGCTCGGATGAATGGGCCTGCCGCACACGGCTATATTCATTTGAAACGGGACTGTAGCTTGGCTGCCCGTTAACGTCCCTTGAAAACCAGTAGGTACTGGTGGTTTAAAGCTTTTCCACCGGCGAGTCACGAATTTGACAGTAAAAATACCCACTCATGCTTCCTTCTGCATGGCCGCAAGATGCCTGAACAGTGTTGATTACTCCATTTCCGGGGGATTGACTATCAGCTTGCCATTCCTTTTCTCATCCCTCTCCCTCTCAGACCCACTCCTGAGTCTCTCAGGTTCATCTTGATCACCTAGAATGAAGCTAAGGATCAACTGCTGGTTGGTCCTCATGTCCATTTGGTTCCTGGGGTGGGTCTTGCTGAAGGCTGTCTAAGCCTGCCTTGTCTTTTTTTTTTGTTTTGAAACTTCATAAACGGGAAACCTACTTAACGAGGTGATAAGAGCATCCCCGGTAAGTAGGTCCCAGCGTCGAAGGCTCCATCTATTGGTGGGGAGCTACACCTGCTGGAAATCGGGTCCAGCGTCCCTGTACAATGATGAAAATGTATCAGCTGGAAATCGGGTCCAGCGTCCCTATACGATGGTGTGAGTGTATGTGCAGGAAAAACGGGTCCAGCATCCCTATGCAGAGATGTGTTGATATCTCCAACTACCTATGTATGTACGTTAAGCAATATATGTCAGATGATGGAGGACCCTATCCATCTGGTCTACAGTATCTCCAAAACAAACGGAGGCAACGCTCCCAATCTTTTCTATCAGACGGAACCCTAACCTTGATGTGATGTGTATTACAATGATGTGATGCGTGTCAGCTGGAAATCGGGTCCAGCGTCCCTCTACAGTGGTGTGTAACTATGTCCTACAGTCAGAAACTGTCTGAATATGTACAGCAATCCATATAAGACAACCAATCTGTGTGTCTTCATTCTGTATCAATCAAAATCTAATCACGAAGCCCTAAGCACGATATGATGTGTGTGATCTTTATCAATCAAGCCAAAACACGAAGCTCTATCAATGATGGGGCATGTATGATCTGGACGTCAAGTCCAGTATGCATTATCAAGCGAAACTGTCAGGAGGCATTGATTACTTCCTTGCGCAAGGGAATGATTGACCTCCTGCAAACTAATCCCTAAACAGCCCACCTCCAACCGACGGGGCGATCAGCACCCCCTTGTTGATTGATATTGCAGGCCGGGCAACACCAATCACCACCGACTATCCTACTCCTTTCCTCTGCCAATCAACGAGGCGCAATTCCGTATCAAGGTTGGAGGGGGGGAAGACAGTAAACCACTTCTTTGTGTCAACCCCAATCCCCACCACGTCCGCTTGCGGCATCACTCCCATCACGCTGATAATAATCTATTAATCTCAGATGCACGGATACCGCTTTCTACCCCGCTGCTTCCTCGGTCGTCGCCGCCGCCTTCGTCGTTGTCATTGTTGTTGTTGTTGTTGTTGTTGTTGTTGTTGTTGTTGTTGTTGTTGTTGTTGTTGTTGTTGTTGTTGTTGTTGTTGTCGTCGTCACCATCATTGAGCGGAAAGCCTGTCTTGTCTTATCTGAGTTATGTCAATCTTTCCACCAGAAGCGAAGTCCTTCAACCATTGCCACCTTGCCTTTCACTAACCATGGTATTGGAATTCCCCTTTCTGCCACTGTTAAGAAACGAAAGGAGGCAATTCGGCTTTTCAATTTAATACTATTATTATGATTATTATTAGGAAGATTTTCATGACCGGCCGGTCACCCGGGCTTGACGCCCTGGGGGATCTGACGCCCGGGATACCCGGGCATGGGGAAAAAAAAAGAAAAAAGAAAAAAAAATGGTGGTGGGGTTTTCCACGCTCTACGAGAGGAGCCCAAATCCGGGCTCTTTTCTTTTTTTGAGTGTTCACTGTCAAGGGGGAGGAAGGAGAGTATAAATGAATTGTAAACTTGTAAAGGGGCTAAAGGGGTTTAAAGCTGTGTTAAACTCTGGACCGTCTGGTGGCCTGGCCTTCGTCTGGCAGGGGTCCCGGGCGGCCCAGCCGGTTGGGTGCCCCGGTTTGGGGCCAGACGAGCCCAGAACAATTTCGCATGGGGGGTTGGGAGGCCTTTTTCGGCTAGTGGTCGCCTCCCCAGCCTCCAGCAACACAAGTTTTGTTTTTGTTTTTGATCTATGACCAGTTTTAGGGGGCGGGGGAGATCTTCTTCAGCGACTGATCCCAGTCGTCGATCTGCAAAGATCAGTGGCTGAGATCAGCCGCCAAGAAATGGGTTCCCCCTCTGGCGGGCTACGACGCTGCGTTCGAATTCGAACACGGTATTTCCCGTAGCGAAGCCCATTCACAACCGCACAGACTTCTTCTTCTTCTTCTTCTTCTTCTTCTTCTTCTTCTTCTTCTTCTTCTTTGTATCCTTCTAGTTCTTCTTCTTCTTCTTCTTCTTCTTCTTCTTCCGATATTTTTACTTTCTTTGTTCCCTAGCTGTTGGTCCTTGCATCCTCTACTTCCACGACATTATGGCGGGCAGTGGCAGCGGCGTCGGCGGGGGGATGGGCAGGTCTGGAAAGATGAGAGCAGACAAAGGATGTGACGTCTTCTTCTTCTTCTTCCTCCCCCTCCTCTAACCCCCCCCCTCAGCGGACTGGCTGCTGCAACACACCCTTTTACC